GTGAAATGTCGAAGGAGATGAAAAAGAGTCTGCGAAGGTATTTTGCAGACAGTTGACTGATCATCCCTCGGTAAGAGATTACAACAGGAATTTGCATGATTCGTTGAGCTCTGTCCCATTGTAGACAGGAATCATTTACATGCAGCAGCCATCGTTGGAGCTCCGTATTTTGACATCTTCGACGCATGCCTGATGTAAATGTAGGCGTCGCTGCAGACTGTTACGTCGAGAATGTATGCCACACCGTCAAACATCATAATCAGATCTGGTTGACAGAAAGACGTGGGTGTTGGAACACGCGGCTCGATGTAAAATCTGGTATTGAATTTGCGTAGTTTGTTGGCGATCAGCTTGAGGACGTCTCTTACATCTAACCTCATGAGTAAGAGCGCAATGCTGAAGATTTGCTGGTTGACCACACCCGCCTCTGCAATTAGTGTCGACTCTAGGACGTTACCGCGCATGTCTTGTTTTGTGCCCAATAGTGCTCCACGCAGTTGAGTTTGGGCAAGACCATTTCGGGTTTGACAAGCCATTTGTGAGATTCAGGGCACGTTGTTGATTCCATCAAACCATAACTATCCTCTGATGAGTGTTGTTGTTTTTCCCAGCTTTCATGTGCTTCTTCTGCTGATGTTACTATTTATCTATGGGCTTGCATCGGAAGATCGCAGATTCTAAGAAAAGACGTGAAGGTGGCGGAGGACGCTATACTGCGTATGAGCGGATTCCTACTGTTGAGCAGTGCCTCGATTCTCTTGTACCTTTGACTCAGAATCGCTGTTTAGAGATTCATGGATCCCAGGCCTCCATTTTTGATATCAGCGTGAAAAATGCAGTTGGAGTGTCCTGCGGGAGGTGAAGCCACCGGCGAACAGCTGCACGAATAAATCCGTCCATTGTTTTCAGAGTATTCTTGTGAGTAATGCTGAGAGTCAGTGAGTAGAGTAGACGAGGAATCAGATTGTTTTTCAGGATTCTAATTCGTTGATGAGGTTTGAGGGGGCGCGTCTAAGTATCCACTGAGGACAACCACATAATCGAAGCAGCGCCTGCTTTTGTAATTGAAGGGCACACCCAGATAGGTAAATTCCTCTGTTGGCGAGATAGCTGGAATTGACTGACAGTTGATATTGAAGATAGTTGGAGAAAGAGACATGATTTCGCGCTGTCTGTCGGCAACTATGTTGATTGTGCTGCTTTTTTGACGCTGATCTATAATCCCGCATGTTCCAGCGAGGCGGCGATACAGCTGAGTTTGTTTTGAAGAGCTGCAGCGTTTGGAGCCAGGATGATGAGATTATCAGCATATGTAGTGCAAAGGATGACGATCAACGTAGATGGGGTCATGGGCTTCAAGAACATTGAGTATCTCGCCCATAGTCATGATGAAGAGAAGCGGTGACAGAAGGTCACCCTGTTTGACCCCCGTGTTGGATGACACTTCACTTCATGGAAGAGACTGTAGGAGTTGGAGTAGTAGTTTGTAAGATATTCTCTAAGCATTGGGGGCGCACCAAAACTCTCGGCCACCCTCAGAATTGTTTGATGTAAGACGCTGTCGAAAGCTTTCGAGATGTCGAGGATAGCTAATGCGCAACATTTGTAGTTGGGGTGCGCTTCTCTCAAGATGGCGTGAAGAAGATTGGTCGCTTCAAAGCAGCCATCACGTTACAGGAAGGCAAACTGTAGTTTTTCCATTGGGAATGATCTGGACCATCGCTTGGCGATAATCTTGTGCAGACAGCCCGTAACGACAGAAGTTATGGAGATAGGCTGGAAGTCGGTAGGGTTATCGGGGTGTGATGTCTTGGGAATGGTGACCCTGAAATCTGACAGAGGTGAAGGTATAAAATACGCCAGCTAAAGAGTGTTAAAATACCCAGCCAGACTAGTGTGGTGGATTTTCTGGAGGTCCCTAGCGATTATGCCGTCGACACTGGCAGCGGATTTGATCGTTTCTTTTAGTGCCCATTTGATGTCTTCAGTTGAAACTGCGGCGATCAAGTCGTTTTTTGTTGGAAGGTATTCCTGGACTGGTCCAGTGTCTGGTAGGGCTGGGCGTGTGAAGGTTTCTATCCAAAATTCATTGAAGCCTCCTATAGCGGACGGCTGACATTTAAACAGGTCACTACATCTGCCATCGAATACCGCGTTTGCAGCATCTTTTGGCGAACGGTGGAAGATCGTTTGCATGTAAACATATAAAATGCGACGTCTCTTCTTGTTGTTTAAGTTTGGTGGGAGACCGGGGATGTATTGCTGCTTGGGTGGTTTCCATCTTGTACGGAACAGCTGTTGATCCCAAAATTTATCTCGTAACTCGGAAAATCAATTATTGTGTTTTGCTTTGCCTTTGGTCTACGCGGAACGAATGCTATAGAAGTTGTGGGTATTAGATCTTGTATTAGTATACATAGTACTATCAATGAACGTCAATACCGTCAGCCTCTATACTGGTGAGCCCAGCCAAGAACTTCATCTTTGGTAAATACACAGACAAATCTGGTGAGTTCGTTCCGTTTTTGTATTTGTCTTTTTACAATTTTCCAACTACATATATTTCGTCATGAGTGATCCTAGTCCCAAGGTCATTCGTATTCGCTCAACTGCCAAAACCATTCAGCTCGTACCATATTGGCCAGATAATCCTGAAACGTGGTTTCAGATAGCTGAGTCTGATTTTTATGAGCATGGGATAACCGATCAACGTTCACAGTTCCTTGCACTTATTCACACCCTACCGCGGGAATTCAGCATGTGCATAACTATGCAGATGTCGAGTCCAGAGGTAAGTAACTGGTACGAGTTGCTCAAATCATCCCTCCTCAGGAGAAACGTTCTCACGGATTGACAGCGTCTGGACGAATTATTTTGTAACATCGAGTTAGGGGATCAGTCAGCCGTGAGCATGCTGACAAGAATGAAAGAGATCATTGGCCAAAGTCAGTTCGGTGAAGGACTTTTCTGAGAACTCTTCTCATCCAAACTGCCACAGTCAGTACAGACCATACTGGTGACACTTCAGGGTGTTCTTATGGATGACCTAGCTGTTTCCGCAGATAAAATTCTAGATATAACTAAACTGTCAGTTACTGAAATATGCTCGGTGGCCAAAGAGACTTCAAGTAAGGATACTGCAGTGATAGAGTTATGCAACTCTATCCACCAGATGCTTAGGTGAAACATGCCTAGTAATTCCTCCTACCGTCGTCCGAACTCCCTCACCGGCGAAACTCACGTGATCGGTCTAAATTCAAGCCACGATCACTAAAAATCCCTGACTGGTGTTGGTATCACAACACCTATGGCCAGGAGGCGAAATGTTGTCGAAAACCTTGTGATTTCGGCAAAGCCTCCAAGTCTGTGGGAAACTGTCCCGCCGGCACGCGTCAGCGGCAACCGTCGCCGGTGGCACTAGTCGCCTACTTTACATTCGTGATGTGGTCAGCTAGACCTGATACTTGGTCGACACAGGCTCGAAGTCAGCGTCCCTCCTGCTACAGCGGCAGATCGATGGAAGTAACCTACCTTCAACTCACAGGCTGCAAATGGAAAACCAATTGCAACCTTTGGTAGGAAAAGCGTCTATCTGAACGTTGGTTTACGCAAACCTGTTCAGTGGATTCTCCTTCTCGCTGACGTTACAATGCCCATCATTGGCACGGACTTACTTAATCATCATGATTTACTCGTAGACATCCGCCGAAAACGACTAATTGACAACACTAATAGTTTGTCCATAAAAGGCATCACCTACATAGGCCCCAGCTTGTCAATCGTTAAGATGAAAGCAATCCTTGATCCGACTTTTCAATCGATTGTTGACAAATATCCAGAACTTAATTGCCCATCTAACGACCTCCCGAGCATAACCAGCAATGTTATGCACCACATCATAAACTCAGGACAGCCCGTGACATCTGAAGCACGACGACTGGCTCCTGACAAACTGAGAATCGCTAGAAATGTGTTCGACCATATGCTCATCCTTGGAATCATTTGGCCATCGAATAGCCCATGGGCATCCCCACTGCACATGGTACCGAAAAAGGATAGCAACGATTGGCGATACACTGGTGATTACCGGCGAGTGAACGCCGAAACAACCCCTGATTGCTATCCATTGCCTCACATACATGACTTGACGGCAACATTATCTGGCGCAACTATATTTTTAAAATCGACATAGTTAAACTGTTTGACTAAATCCCGATGGCACCAGGAGATATCCCGAAAACGGCTATCATTACACCTTTCGGACTTTTTGAATTTCTACGCATGCCATTTGGCCTCCGCAATGCAGAACAGACATTCCAACGCTTCATCGATGTCAAAAAATAGTGACTGATGAAATCGCACGTTGATATAAGCTTCCAATAATTCTTACCGTGTTGACTCGTTAATTATTATATTAATAGTTATATTTATGAAATTATCCCGCATGCTCAAGGTCATCAGAAGAGTTATGCACCTGAAGGTCACTTTCATCATTTTAGTCACTCATGTTGGATTGACGTTCCTCAATAGTTCGTTTATCCATTGGCCTAACCGTTTATACTGCACTTATTCACAAATTATCTTGATGCCCATCATTCAGAAAAGTTGTGTTCACCTCAGTTTTGTTTCGGTTGCCACGCCAAGGTACCAGCCAACAGACGGGTTGATTTCGATCACGAACACTTTCACAATTACTGGTTTGTAGCACAATCACATCTAAACAACAGAAAAACTAAAAACCTTTTATAATGGCGTATAAGCAGTGGTCTGATACGTAGCGCAATACAATTCAATGAGACGACGCAGGTATTTGTAATCAGTTACGAGCCACAATGCATCATAGTATGAGATAACTTAGCTGCTCTGAATCTAGGACCCAATGACAGAAAGTCACTTGCTTAAGCTATCTACAGAATGCAACAGCGTTAGATCTAGGGTCTTGTAACAGGGAATCTACTTACATGGAACAGCTACAGAAACAGTTATATATATGAGTGTGATTAATCGATAAGTTGAAAATGATCAATTAACCTTATTAATAGTGCCCACTGAAAAAATCTAGACAGAGAAACACTACCAAAATATAAAAATACAAGTCAAAAATAAAAAAACAGAAACTAGAAGTAACCGTTGATGCCTGGTCTTGAACAAAGCTCATTTGGAACGTTTGGGGATCGACCACTTGTCCAGTCAATTCATATAAGTCCCGTAGAGTTTGTGATGAACCAAGGTGAAGAACAGGATGTTTACAACTCTCAGAATTATTTAGGCGAGAGACTAATTCCTTAAACTGTCGTTTCTCCTCAGAAACCATTTTGCATGAGTAGCTCTCCAGTCTGCAAAACAAAATAGTGTCATACATAAACACATACAACTCAAACTCATTGAAGTAAGGAAAAAACTGCAAGTTTATGTAAGTTATACATGGTTTCTAATGATGGCGATTTACATACATACTGTACACCTTGTAAACCCATTTAACTTGTTAACAAATAATTTGTTGAATAATACGTATTCACTTGTCATACATTACATAGAAGAAATAGATTTAGTGGGTGGTGAAAAAAAACATCCACTCAATGCTATTATTTACTTTGCAAACGGGACCCGATAGAACGACTCCAAAGGTGTCTAAGGATGGCGGAGAGATTTTACTGTCTGCGTTAACTAAAGTACAAAGGCAACGTCTGGGAATCAAAGGAAGTCCCATCGGGTTGGTGTAAGTCACCGATTATCCCTATATACAAGAAGGGAGACAAGTCTTCCTGTGATAATCACAGGGGGACTAGCTTGACTAATATGGTATCTAAAGTTCTAGGCTCAATACTCACGCGTGGACTAAGCGGTCCACGGGAGGTTCAAACACGAGATAACCAGGCAGACTTTAGACCAGGAAGAGGATGTATTGGTCATAGCTTCACCCTTCGACAAATTCTGGAACATAGGCATACTTACCGGCGTCCAACAATCGTCATATTTCTTGACCTAAAGGCCACATTCGAGTCGGTCGACCACGAGGTACTATGGCGATGTTTAGCTGCAAAGGGAATGCCGAGAAAATACATTACACTGATCAAGGCTCTCTACTCGAACTCATGCAGCCAGGTGAGGCTTACGGCGAGTTGTCATCTGAAGTGGTGACAACTGGTGGTATCTGTTATGGAAGCCCACTATTGATTGAAGCATATCTCCCTTGTTTTTCAAATGCGTTCATCAAGGAGATTCTAACTCCAATCGTTTCATGCTCAGATGGATGATGTTTACGTAGCTGTGTTTTCTGAGATGGATGGTTTACTTGTGAAGCTTTCACTGCTTTACTGGGTGACATTTTTAGCGTATACTTCAACTTGAAGTGAGTTTTAAAATTTCTCCACGAGTTTATTAGCCATCTCTCCTGGTATCCTTGAAAGTGAGTGGCTGTTTCTGTGATTTCACACCCACTGGTCTACTTATATTGGTACTGATTATTTCCTGGACGTGAACTTTAACTTTTCGTGCACAAGATTTCCTTCTTACGGATTGGTAAATCTTGTCCATGTCAATGTCTATTAATTGCCGATCCACTTGAATACCAGGCTTCTAAAAATTCTATGGCGTTTTTTGGTGTTTTCTCTATCTAGTATCTGAACGTTGTCCCAAACGAATTGATGTCCATGGTTATCTGTAGGTGGTGATATGAAGGAGTGAATGAAATGTCTTTTGACGGTCAGTTTATGTTCATGGATGCGAAGACGAAGACGCCTTAATATGATTACATCTTAGCTTTCCATAGTCAACCCCACAGATCCCCAGGAATGATCAGTATACAAACTACGGGGAAATTACTACTCACAAGTACAATTCATAGCTACCAAGTAACCATCAACAGTTTTCTAGAGGCAATTCTTGAGGGCAATTACAAGCCTCAGTGAATCTTTAAAAAACACTTCACCTTGTCAATGCGAAGTACACATATTTAAGGACATTTACATGGTGCAAAAAGTCAGTTTCATTATTACGTCAAGATTGAATCGCATAACTCCCCTGACTTCACTAAGTGTTGCAGTCGGCCACAAAAATAATCCCGAACTTTCTATTAGACGGTTCGAAATTTAAGGCTTTCCCACTAAAATTCAACAGTAAATTTTATCAAGCATGTGACGAAAAAGCCGGAAGGCTAGAAATAGTCGAAAAATTACAATTAGGACAGTCGACATAAAGTATGCACGTAAAATGAAAACCCGTGGGACGTAAAAATTAGGAGCACATAGTCTCAATCTTTATTAATTATATTATTATTATAATCATTATTGTTATTATTAACGAAAACCCACCACATATCCCGTTTGGGAAAAGTTAAACTGCCATAGCCAAACACACAGCGACCTTGAACAACCGGTCAGCACTCAGATGCAAAAGCGTTGAAAAATGCACTGAAAACATTGCAAAAATGATATTACACTACATAGTCCTCGCTTACGTGTTGTGAGGATGTCTCTCAGTCACTACACAGACGACCTCTAAAGAAATCATACTATGTGGGATATATGCATTCATCCAGGTGACTGTAGATCATGGCACTTTGAAATCTATTGATACTTCTGACACTTTTCCAATCTACCCCTAAATCTAGACCCTGAGTTTAAAATTCGTAACCCTACTTAACAATAGATTTACAGAATAAGTGGCTAGTAAATTGGTATAATACTGCATCTACCCTCTCCAAGTCCAATAACGTAGGCATGATTTGATTTGGAGTGATATTTCAAGGCAATCCCCGTAACCGACCGGTTCTTGAAAGTCAGCTTTTGGAAGACCTTGACTTTAGCTATGATACTCTAACTCCGCCCACGTCTGATATCTAAACACCGCATTGAGTACACTTTAATCATGATTCTGGTTTTATTTAGCTGGTTTCACTTACTTGGTGGGTACTTCAGGGTCACTGGCGGAATCATACTAATTGGTACTTACTGGTTTGACTTGGAAGAGTGGTAGGGAAATAATGCAAAGAAGTAGTTGAATGATTGTAGAAGTGGAAAGACTGTCAATTATCATTCCGCCACTATTCTAATGGTGGCAGGACATATTTTTACATAGTTCACTTCAGCAGTGTTCGAGTCGACTCGAACTAAAGATCTTTAGTTAAAAATCCTAATCATCACCTCAAAAACATGCACCGAGCAGTGAAATCTCAAAAACGCAGAAACAACTTGCCTTGCATCAATTTTATATCGCTTACTACCGTTGCTCAGCTGTGAACTAAGACCTTCAAGATTAATTTGATCCAGCAGCTTCATCCGTACGAAATTTGAATTCCCCACGGGTATTCCTCTGCTTTGAAAAACGTTCCGACATGTATTATCCAACGTTGAATGTGTTTGCAATAAGGTTGTATAAACCTTTTCAAAATTCGCATTTAAGTGTTGAAGAACAATTCTCTATCTTGAAGACTATCCAGGTGATTATAACTTTCCATTTTCAATGTCCAAGATATTTTCGTAAAGTTGCACAAACCTATTGAATTTCAGGCAGAACTTAAACGACATGTACAAGGTCATTGATGGAGTGAGACGCTCAAAGGTCATTTTCGTTCATCTTAGTCGGCCATGTTGGATTGCAGTTCTGTAGCTGTTCGTTTACATATCGATTTTTCCGTTTATCCAGCACTTATTCACCACGTATCTTGATGCACATTGTTTACAAATGTTGCGTTTCACTTCATTATTGTTTCCGTTTCTGTTAAAATTAGTTATTTTGTTTGTTTCGAAAGTTTTTACCAGCAGGTCAGTGCATTCATTTCATTGTAATTGTTTCATACGTTGCATTCATGCATAGTTTCAGGTTTTTAGTTGTTTTTTCGCTAATAATGAACTAGTACTGTCTAGAAGTTTTGGAAATTATGCGCATGAGCATGTTTGGGTGGCGGAAGCAGTTGTTTCCAGTTCATTTTTGGTTGCCGTTGTTGTTACTAGCTCAGTTGCTTACTTAACATGTAGAAATCTGGAAAAAACAATGTCTGTCACATTCATGTTTACAGCATGCAGCAATATACGAGTCAATCTGGTGAAGAGAGCACGATCAGGGTTGATATTAGCAAAGTTTTCGAAGAACAAATTAAACCTAGAGAATTTAGATCCTGGTTTGAAGTATAAAAAGCTTTGATGCTTTTCGACAAGGTGTCTGTTGTCAGCTAAAAAATCAGATGTATTGTGAGAGAATCAAAATCGAACAAGGATGAGCAACACGTGAAGTATGAATGTGTGGTGTTTGTATGTACTTTTGGAAGCAATAGGAAATCCCTAAATGATTGTTAATGCCTAGTGTACTAGATCCAAACGCACCAACTAGGACTGCCTGTAGTAAACGTGGTGTTAGCAAGCATTTTATTTGTTTCAAAACGATTTGAAAAGCGGTAACATACGATGATCTGGTGAGTGTTCGGTAAGAATTTAACTAGCAAGAATAACGTTTTGGATTTTGGTCTACAATCGGTGGTTTTTTCGAAGTTACAACAAGCTGAGAAGCTTATTATTATTCGGGGTGAAAAATTGGCTCGTTGCAAATTGCTTGTTTCAGTTCAAATAATGAAATTTCTATTTTTCGGATGCTTGTGATTTCTCCGTGGCTGTAAACACGGTTGCCCATGATTTTTAAGAAAACTTTAAATAAATTTTCCTTGAACCAATGGTCTTCTGTTTCTTGGCGAGACGTCTGTTGATACGATTAGACGATTAGGTAGCAAAGTAGAATGTTCTGTGACTGTGAATCGTAGTCGTTGTGTTTCGGATTTATATCGCGGATCTAATTGCTATAGAGCTTTTTCCTCATGGTGCATTATGATATCTAGAAACCGTAAGCACGCTGCCTTCGGTAAATTCATTTTTACTTTTAAGTGACAGTGAATGGTGAGTCATTTGAGGCGATAGGATAAATACCTCTAAAAGCTTGCGTGAAGAGAATAGGATATGTTTTACCCAGAAAGCTCTCAGGATGTTCGCTTTTGCTTTGAAATTCAAAGATAACGTTGAGTTGCTCACTTAGGTAGTAGCAACAGGAGATTACCTTCAGGGGAAACTACTTTAAGGTAGCTTTAGATAATGCGTCAGAGAAGTAAGCAGTGTATGTTTATTGCGTCTAAATATATTAAACGTTGTAAAGCTGGTCAAGTCGTCACATATGAGTTAGTTTTTTAATTAATGAATGTGCCGTACTAGCGTCTACCTAGATTTGCATACCCACCCTTATCTGTGGGACAGCACTCTATTGCTAAGGCTCCTGAGTTCGAATGGCTTCTGCAGAATAAGAGAATAAATAAAATTTAAAAAAAAGACAACAGAAGTTGAAAATTTGCCTAAAGCTGAAGTTTAAATAACAAACTCCTCGAATGCAAGTACATGGTATGAGTCCCCTACTTCAGAAGGACACCTAAATGTATACTTCAGAAAAACGGTAGTTATTATTAAGCCCTCGCTTTTCTTCTACATAGTTCACGCACTTTGACTTTTGTGTTTAACTCATTTCAACCTATATAAGTAGGTAAAATTATCATCTTTTTTTTCACTTAAACTTTTATTTTCTTTTCGCAAGAAAGACTAGAATTCCATCACTAGAAAATCTCAGGGGGAAATAGTATTTTTTAAATGAAGAAAAAACAAAAAAATGATGAACCCATGTTTTTTACATATGTTTTGAATTATTAACACCTATTATATACTTCTGCACCTCTCTGTCGGTTTCCTTGTGTCTTCTTCTCTTTTCAAAGGTACTGCCTTAAACGAAGGTACTGAAACAGTGCCGCTATCGTCGGAATATTGCTAGCCCACCTGGTGAATAACGGAACCACCTCTATCATGAAATCTGCCGACAAGTTCAAAGTTGGTCTCATATACAACTGGAAATATCACAATTATGGTGTACTTACCGGTGAATTTGAAGTTTTATGGACTTTCAAACACTCTATGAATCATTTACTTACAATTACTGTTCATTCCGCATCTCTTATATTTCACGCAAGCACCTGTACAAAAATGCTACTTACCTTCCACAATTAACGTAATCGTTTATAATTCCCGCGTGAAATTGACATACCGTATTTTTTTTCAATTACAGTTTTGATTTGATGCTATTTCTCATGAATTATTCAGTTGAAAGCATATCTCGAAAATTACCTATTGCCTTATTTGTACATTTCTTTTTAAATATTTCTCTCAAATTTACCAGTATTCAATCTATTTCTAGATTAACAAATCATATATATTCTATAAGTTCTAATTAGTGTACATTTGTTCATGCCTGTAAAAATGGCTGGTTTCTGTTCCAGAAATAAAAAATTATTATTATTATGCATGCGTGTAGTATACATTTAAGACTAAGACACTGTGTGATGAATTGGTCCGAGATACTTAAGGTCAGACTTGTTTTCTGTACCACTCTCATCAATTTTGCAACGGTCATAGGAATTAACAGCCTCATCTAACTTTCTTTTACATCGGAAACTGAAATTGACAGTCTGGCATTTGGAAGGATTTAGTTTAAAAGCATTTTCTGACTCCTGATAGAGAGTTGTTCATCTTAGTACAGTGTAGATGCGAATTAAAAGACTGGAATAGTTAGTCCGCGCACTTGACATATTTCATTTCGTATGCGTATGCACATTAAGTTCGTCAAACAAAAATACAATAGGTAGTGGACGACAATAATGGAGAAAATGTTGTGATGCAAGACTGCAGCTGCATCTGAAGTACTTCTACTTTGTTTATAGGCGAATTATTTGAGATCGTTAAAGGCTTTAAGTGTGGGTTGAAGAATAAGTAAGAGTAACTTTTCCATAGCTTTTAGAAAAGGAGAGGTAATAGCAATAGGTCTAAATTTAAAGCATGTTCCATTAGGCGACTTAGGTATAGGTACAATTTTAAAGTTCTTCCAAACGTCTGGCACAACATTTCTGGAAAAAGATTCATTAAATATGTGACAGGATATCTGCACATTTAATTAAGAATAAGGCTAGGCAAACAATCTGGAACTAGGCTACAAGAAGGGTTCAACGACTAGAGATAATTTAGAACGTCATTTGTATTGAAACCAAGGAAGCAACTCTTATTAACACTTGTGACACCAGAAACCTTGGCATTTGTGAGAGAATGTATGAACGACTTGTTTACCGTACACACATCAAATGAATAGAAAATCCTGGAGGTAATTAGATGCATAAAGGCGTGACTTATTTAATATTCATAAAGTAGATATGCAAACACCGCAGTTGTTAATCATAGAAATGATGGATATCAGATAACATCAAATGATTCAACGGCATATTAGAAATAGATGAAAATTGTTTCTTTGCTCACTGTCAAGTGAACAGTCTATTTGATGATGTCACTGCATATTAACAGATCAGTCAAGTAGCTATCAAGCCTAAGTTATTACATTTACTTCTATTTCATACTTGGCGTTTAACAGTATAGAGACTTGCAACTGGCCAGATAAGGCGATTTTAGCCTATCGAACAGTACAGAATTATTATTCAACTTGCTAAATCTTACTTAGTTTTTACAATGTGCTGCTGTACGGAAACAGACACAAAATCTTACGAAGTGCTATAGTAACAGTCTCATAATACTATAGTAAATCTCCATACTACTAACTAAGCTTAACATGCATTGATCCGAATTCACTTATTACAAAAGCACATAGTGTAGCGACGCAGTGAAAAAGTCTAGATGAAGTAGAATTGAAGAGTATATTAAATATTTCATTAATTTACAAAAGAAAACCCCGATGAAGAGTATTAACGTTAGTTTGACCGAATGATATTTCCGCTGGTTTCATATTCCACAACTTCCGTATACCTGAAAAAAATAGAGCACATGTAAGGACTAGCATTACATGAAGTTATGAAAGATAATTCTACATATTAGCACACACTATGAATACACTGATTCTGTTAATACTTCATGTAGAAGCTGCACCTTTCGGCATAGTATCGTCCATTGTAGACTTCACGCTTAAGGTGTTTAAGTTTGAGTATTGATATGTAAACTAATAATTTGATTTGTACTCAATAACTAAGTAACTTTTTAAAGCTGAATAAACACGTTTAAAATGTCATTATTATGTCAAATGTTTGTATAAGTGTCCCCGTTGATTACTGCCTTGCTCACTAATAATTTGTTTCCTTTTCAGGATAGTTCAATGGATCTGCTTGATGATGGAGGGCAGGTGTAATGCTGAATTCTGACTTCATGTTAAAAGACAATCATTCTACTTGTGTGTATTATTTGCAATTCTAACTGTTCAT